GCTAGGGGCCTAAGTTCAGTATAGTAGCAGCCGCCCCAACAAGCAAAGAAGCCCTGCAACCTAAGAACTCTCCGACCGAATTTGAGTAGCGGCAAAGAGCTCCAGGACACCATCTGCACCTTGGAGAGTGTGAAGGCAGTCGGAGAGGTCTATGCCCCGGTGGACATGGAGGCCGGATCTCTCGGAAATCGCATTATCTGCTATGTTTCCCTTGTTGAAGACTTTGTCGTTGTTGTTGTTGTTGTTGTCCCATGTTGGTGTTGTATGCGAGAGGGTGTATGGTTTTCATTGCTTCTTGAAAAAGTTTGTTGTAGGTTCCGGAAAGTGATGATGTAGTGGCCACGTTTTTCGCTGTCCTGAATCCGAAGTGATGAAGAAGCGATCCTTGGGACAAACCACAACCCCAAGCAGACCGAGATATAGACTCTGAAGTTGCATGCCTTTTGCTGGTTAGCTTGTTTTCTGGCTGGGAATCCGCAATAAGACAACGCAGAAGCCGACAGCCACTCTGCAATCTAGGGAATCTAGGGTCTATACAGATAGTTTTATGCGGCCAACCGAAATAAATTGAAAGTGGAGCTGGTCGGATGCTGCGGCACCCACTGTAACCCCGAACCTTCAGGTCACTGACATCAACGGCAAGCTGTCAGACGAGCCGGCAACTATCAACAGCTCTCCAGAGGATGAGGGTTGGCTCGTGAAGGCACGGCAATCTGGGTGATCCTAAGAATCGCTGTTCATCTTTGTTCGCGTTTAAATCCGTGGGGTGAGTAAATACGTTTGTTTTCGTGTGAGTTCACTCGACACATGGGACTTACGGCCGAGAGTCCGAGAAGCACCCTTAGGGGCTTAAGGTTTAGGGTTGAGGGCCAGCTCAGCGTGCATGGGGACCGCGATGACGGCTGCATTGACTGCAAAGCCAGTCGAGTTATAGGGGGCCGACAGATGTAGGTTTCGTAATTGTGTTTTGGGTTTAAAACGTCCACCGCGGCTGATGCTCCACTTCTGTGGGTTCCGGTCTCATTACTCGAAGATCAAGTCCCTTCTCTGCCCTGCAGCTTCTGACAGGCGTTTTGATAAAAGCAAGTTGGTCCGCGCGCCCAGCTCTGATCATTAAATACAAAACGCCCCTGTATTGCAAGAGGGTGAGCCCCAATCCGAAGCACTTGAAGTTACTGTAGAGTTCATGAGAAGTGTGTAGAGTATAGAGGAAAAAGAGAAATAGTTTTCGGTTATAGTCCCTACATGGTTACACTCGAACCTACCCATGCCATAGCAGAGCCCTGCTCCAATCATTCGCAACAACCCCGCTGATTTCGGCTTACAGCTGGCTGGGGTTAGCAAATCAGTTCGAAGAGAATCAGGACCCTCAAAGAGTCATATCGGCCAAGGGGTTCATGGAGGGCACTCTGTGGATGTTCGTCGCCGTTTTCGCCGGTGGACTGGACGCGTTTCGCTTGGACAGCCTGGAGGAGTTCTCAGGCGAACCCTAAACTCCTAAATACCCTAGACTTCAAACCCCAACAAACTTCAAGCCCTAACCCTAAACCCT